TTTTTGGGTGGGAGACCCAGGGAGAGTTTTCTGGTGGGAGCCCAGGGAGAGAGGGTTCTTGGGGAGGACCAGGAGAGAGGTTCTGTTGGGAGAGGCCCAGGAGAGAGGTTTCTGGGGGGAGGACCAGGAGAGAGGGTTCTGGGGGGGAGGCCCAGGAGAGAGGTTTCTGGGAGGAGAGGACCAAGAGAGAGGGTTCTGGATGGGGGGAGGACCTGGGAGAGGGTTCTGGGGGGAGGACTGGGGAGAGGGTTGAGGGGAGGACCAGGGAGAGGGTTCCGGGTGGGAGGACCAGGAGAGACACTTCACTTTCCTGAGGCTGCCTGAGAATTCAATATAGGGCCCCATTTGTTTTGTTAAATTGACAACTTCCTTTAGCAGGAAATAAAGGTTCAAACCGAGTTTCAGACTAGCTACAGAGTAAGAAATAGCTTCTCTTTGTAAAGACTTTGGTCTTCAAGGCATTAAGCATGTAACGTAATTTCACTTGATGAAGTTTGTTTTCCCTTCTCCGTTTGCTGCCTAGAAATGTGCGCTGCGTTATCTCTGCAGAGCTGGGCAGGAGGGGCGAGCGAAGGACAGAGTTCTCTGGGCTCCAAAGCGCTTACAGACAGCACCCAGCTGGGACCCTAGGGGTGCTGACCGAACCGCCCCCCCCCACCCCGTTTCCATTTCACAGACACTGACAGAAGGCCAAGCTCCAACGAAAGTCATGGACATGGGTAGATTTTATTGAAGGGAAAGTGGAATTTATTAGAATGAAAAGTTTGCATTTACTAGACTCCTTTTAGGATGCAACAAATGAATACTTTTAGATTTTTAAAATCCAAACCTTCCAGAGTGTTCTAACATGAAGATAGGAATTCATCTAAAAAGTAATGATGATGGAATATGGTTGCCTGAAATGAAAAGCATTACTTTAGAATTATCCTTTGGAATATGGGTATGGGGGAAAAACACACACACATAAGCGGTTAGAGAATATCGACTTTTTAATTTAGAAAGATAACCAAGCGGTGACCAGGGGAAGACACATTTCTGACTCTCGGTGGCAGCGGCCGTCGACGAGGCTCCTGTGATCTCAGCGAGTGGGAATGAACTTACTTGACGTCACACAAGAGGGCCACTCCCCTGAGGATCCAGTGATCTGGGGACAGCACGGTCCGCAAGTACACCACGGTGATGAAGGTGAGGTCGGTGCGCTGGGGCTTCTTGTAGATGGGGCACACGTACAGCTTGGGGTCCTTGGGCGCCGTGGAGTTGATGGCGAAGATGTGCAGCACGGGCAGCTGCATGAAGAGCACCTTGGGCGTGGACTCCGTGAGCTTCCCGTTGCGTCTGTCCCAGGCCGCGCCGTCCATGTACAGCCCATAGATATACACTCCTTCCTGGAGGAGCCAAGCAGAGGGCAATGGGGAGTATAAATATCAGGTGCTGTGAGTGGGCACCCATTACTGTAGCGAAGGCTGTGCGTTTGGAAAGAGGACACACCCCAATCTTCAGGACACACCCCAAAGAAGAGAGCCGGCTGGGCACACCACATAGTGAGGTAGGAGCCCATTTCCCTGCAGCCAACCTCGAGGCCACGAGCCCTGCAGGAATGTTCCTGCTCTCGGTGGGTTGGGTGTCGGGTGGCCTGCCGGCGACAACAAACTTAGCCAGCACCGAACCGGCTCTGCAGGGGCCTAACAGTCTCCCAGAGGCCCCATCCGGGCCCCGTCTGAGTCCCCCAGAGACTGGGTCTGAGTGAACCAGAGGCCCGTCCAAGTGTCCCAGAGCCGGGTCTGAACTGGTGTAGGGTAGGGTGGGAGCAGGGAACAGGACTTGGAGCCAGGCACCACGTGGGACCTCCACCTGCACCAGCCACGCCAACCGATGGCTCCACCGTCATCTCAGGCCCAGGAGGAAGTGAGGTCTGTGCCACCAGGCCCTGCAGCGGAAGGGTCAGACCTCCCTCTCTGCCCAGGCTGGAAGGTGGATGAGACTGGGTGTGAGGGGAAGGGCGGGCACGGTTGGTTCAGCACCGGCTGGCCATCACCTCGAGTCTCTCTTTCACACAGTAGGACCTGCCCTTGAGGTTCCACCATTGAATAGGGAGACAAGACACACACAGAGTTTAACACCAACACCGGCACACGTGTGAGAGGGCTGCCTAGTGCACAGTGTGAAGCCCAGTGCAGTGAAAGGCACTGTGGGCCGAGTGCTCAGGGTCTTTGTGGGGAATGTTTCTTTGAAGGGGGGCTGCACATGGGAAGACGGAGGAGAGAGGCTGGGCGTCCCCAGCAGGAGCAATGCTGCAGGGAGGCTGGGTGGGTGGGCAGCTGCCACATTTGATTCAGCAGCGGGTCCAGGGGTGATACAATAAGTCAGCACCCGAGCAAGGAGAGTCTGGACATCAAGCTGAAGGGTTTGAACTTGACCGTGTAGGCCAAGGGAGCCACAGAACACATATCCAGCAAGATAAGCCAAGAGAGGCTAAAGGGAATCACAGGAGACTCCAATGATCATGTCAGCTTATAAAGTGTATATACTAATATGTGGAAGATGGTGACCCTTTTTCCATTTCCAGCGAGGACCAAGCAGGGGGAGTAAGTATCCTATATAATAAAGATGTAGGATGG